ATAACAAGTGAATATATATATTATTACCAAATGGAACATTGAGTTTGATTACAAGATCTTTAGGCTTTAGCAAACAGCTATTTTGGCCCAAAAAAGATAAAAACCATTGGAGCTAAGTGAGTAGAATTTTAGTCTTATGATCTTCAAAGCCAAAAAGGTCGGAGTAGCCAACTTCTACGAACGAGTAACGTGTCCTTGATGCTGTGATCAATCCTGGAGAATATGGTCTCCGCCGGTAGTGAGATGTCATTATGCAATCTTGCATTCCTTTCTTTCCATAGGTTGAAGATGAGAGATTGGACCACATGACTTCTTGAGTTTCGAAGGAGTAGAAGGAGATTGTGTTAATAACCATGAAATAAGAGAGTCCCAGTCTTGGAAAGTGATAGGCACAGTGTGTAGCCGGTGTAGAGCCATGTGCCAAATATCCAAGGAAAATTTACATTGAAGGAAGATGTGTTCTCTTGTTTTCAGCTCAGACCCACAGAGGCAACAATTGGGATCAACTGTGAGGCCCCAAGCAGGGCCGGGCCTGAGCACAGGCTAAGAAGGCATGGACTTTGGGCCCCGGAATTATTTTGTTTTTGCGAAAAGACCCCCAAATTAAAAATCTATCTATAAACTCCCTAAAAAATTTTTTTGGACTTAGGGCCCCCTAAATCTCAAGGCCGACCCTGACCCCAAGATAGAAGTCTTTGCTTGATTGGTAGACGGTTTAAATGTGCAATCTAGAAGTTGAGGAATGCTTCGGGATTTTAATTGCATCTCTATGTATTTTTTTTAAGGTTTTGTTTAAATATCGAAAATGAAAGAGAGCGGATAAAATCAGAAAAGTTATTTTATCAAAAAACAGTTTATGTGTTTGATTGACAGAGCATTTAAAAGAGTAAAAGAGTATGATGTTTTTTATTATCTAATTAAGTTTGGTTGATAAAGCATTGAGTATTTGAGATGTGGATCCAATAGAAAAAAACCCTAGCCACCATTTGAGAGAGAGAGAAAAGAGACATTTTTCGGTTGACAACTCCGGCGGCTTTCATAGCGCCGGAGTTGTGTTTTTATTAGTTTGTGTTTCATATGGTTATGTTAGTTACAAGTCAAAGATCCTATGTGATTTTTGCCTCTTTTTCTTTTCTACGGTGGGTATTCTTCTTATTAGTTAACGTTAAGTTGGCGAAAAGATGGATGACCTAGATCCGGAAAGATGACGATTCTAGTATTCGTTTTCTCTACTTTGGAAATTTTTTTTTGCAGTAGATCTAGTTGTTTTGGAAACTTTAAAAGTACAAAGGAAGATGGAACCTTTGCGGGTGTTGACCGAATAAATGAAATTCTTCACGATGGTTTTATATCTTCAAACAGCTATTCATGCAATGAAGACGACAAGCAATGAAGACGATGAAGCAGATTTGATGCTCTATTATCTTCCAAATTCTATTGAATTGTGTTATGTTATTGATTAAGATTTAGTTGTGTTTTTCTGTTTTATTTTTAAGATCCTTTAGTTGATGATTCATTACCGTAGCCTCTATTGATATGCGTGGAATGGTTTCGCTTCTCTTTATCCGTTAATACCTTTTGGTAAACGGTAGTGTGGATTGATTCCATGAAATAAAGATTTTTTCAGTGTTAAAAAAAAAGCGCATTGACTAGAACATTTATAACAGCTAATGCTCTCCAAATATTCCAACCCTTAATGCTATCAAATGGTGATTTTCCAGAGCATTGGCCTCTCGTATATAAAAAAAAACATTAAAAATAATATTACATAACTAATTTATTTTTATATTACATAAAAAATTTATATTAATTTTATATTATTTTAGTTAATATTTATGGGACAGTTGCAAAAATGCCAATTTTGATATACCACTTTTAAAAATGCCACCACGGATTGTCTACTTGAAAAAATGAAACAACCTGACCCTTTTTTTTTTTTTTTACATTGAATCAGATTATCATTCCCATAAATGATAATCCTCAATAATCCAATCAATTTCACAAGTCAACAAATAACCAGCGGCAATCAAACTAAACCTTCAAACCAAACAATTCCATTATCAATTTAACCAATCATTCAAAANAGTCAACCAATATTCCAACAACCTAACCCGTTCTAATCTGAATTACTATCAACCTAGCAATTCAATTAAAACACTCAACG